GCCACGGGGACCACTGTGGCTTATACTACAATTAAAAAAAAAATCCATCATCCAAACCAGAACAGGTAAGAAAATTATCAGTGGAAAACACCGTGAATGCCTTCTATTTATCATCAGTTGACCTCACCTAAAGATCTCAGGTGAGGCAAGGCTGGCTCCGAAGGGCAACCTGTGACCAGAATACTGACACTAGAGCCAGGTACCTGTCTGACTCCACAGGTGAATGAATGAATGAATAAATGGAGAGCCATTCATAGAATGAGCCATTCATTTAACAAATGAGTAACTGAATGCATGAAGGTGTGAAGGATTTTTCACTATTTGACTGCTGGACACATCCATTGTCTTAAAGATTGAAGAGTGAAAAATTAAGCTGTCTAGACAGACTTTATTCAAGGATATCAGCAATTATGTTCCTTCTGCTCTGTTCTAATGCCACATTGACCTAAAATATTTTGGGATCAGGTGAGCATGCCTTATGGTAAGAAGCCTGTGCCTGTGGTCTACAGGCATCTCCCAGGCCCGGCTGCCCCCAGGGCATCCCGCCCCTAGTGCAGCCCCTCTCCTCCCAGGCTCACAGAACCGAGCAGGCCCAGTCTCCCTCTCCTCCAGGGCATCTTAAGTGTCTGCCTCGCATTTCTCCCCTGCTGGTCTTTAACAGGTTCCCTGCATTTCTCCTTGGATCGCAGCTTCCTAGCTCAGCATTTTGAACTTTCGTTTTAATTGCAGCCATTCACAGAAAGAGCCATATAGATTTCCTCCTGGAGTTCCCTGAGCCAGGCAGGAATGGCTTTCTGACTATATGACCACATGCCTTTGGCTGGAGCTAAGGGGAGGAGGGCAAGGCCATTTTTCTTGTCAAAGCGGCTGGCTAGCTGAACCGACAGTTTGGTGTAAGCACGCTGGAGGGGAGCTCGGCGGACCCTGGGACTTACCAGGTACAGCTTGTCCCCCTCCACCCACTGCTTCCAGCCACGGTTCTCCTTTTCCCCCTTCTGCACGCAGACAAGGGCATCACCTTCCCAGATGACCAGCGTCTGCAATGACAGGTTTCCGGGCAAATCAAATGTATGGTCTTTTTTTTTCCCACCCTCTTTTCCCCTCTTCTTTCTTTCTTTTCTTTCTTTTTTTTTATTGGATGTACTAGAGATTGAACCTAGGACCTTGTGCATGCTAAGCATGAGCTCTGCCACTGAACTATACCCGCCCTTCAAATCAAATGTATGGTCCTGATTGGGACTGAACACACGTAAAGCTGCAGTTCCTGCAGCCTTTCCCGGGCTCCTGCTTGCCCGCAGAGCGGAGCCCTCAGCCACAGTCATGCCAAGATCTCCCCAGTCTCATTTTTCACATACAGCCTCCATTCCAGCCACACAGGCTTGTCATGGCTGGTTCTGTTCTCTTTGAAAGCCTTCTCTTCCATTTTACCATGTGGTAAAGACAGCATCCCAGATCAGTGGGAGAAGAGATGGTGGATTTAACTATGTCCCCATGTAAAATTTCTGGAAGGGAAAAATACCCCAAAGTCAATAGATAAATAACAAATGGGGAAAAATAACTGTACCACATATCAGATAAACCTGATTTCCTTATCTACAAGAGCTCCTGCAAATCAGTAAGGAAAAGATCATTAATCTAGTAGGAAATTCAACACAGGACACCAAACCAATGGCTGGCAAGGAAAAAACAAAAACTTAGCAGATGGCTTTTAAACATAAGAAAAGATATTCAGTCTTACTCACATGCAAATTAAGACTTTGTGTTTAAGATACAATTCAGTCTATAGTCAAGGATTGGAGATACATACCGATAACACACCGAGTTGGAGCAGGTGCAGAGATGGCTGGACCCTCAGACAGGGCCGGTGGGCATATAAATTGATAAGAATCTTTTTGCAGGGCAATTTTACATTACCTTTCAAAATGTAACATGATGTACACTCTTTGACCTAGAAATTCTACTTCTGGGACTCTCTCTGCAGGAATGACATTGTGAGGACTGCTCATTGTCGGGCAATAACAAAGGCAGGGAAGCCACCTTCCCTGCAGGGGGCTGTGTGAATGGCTCCAAAGCCAGCTTTGTCGTTCAGAACCAGGAGGTGGAACTTCTCCGGGCCCTGGGCTTACCCTGGGCAGCAGTGCCGACCAGTTAGTAGCACTGGGGAGGCTGCAGCAACGCAGAGCTTGTGCTGGACAACAGGTCGAGCTGACCAGCAGGTTGGAGAAAAAAGGCTGAACCGCAGGAGGCTCAAACCCCTTATGCTAAATTCACATCTTTACATATTACACACCCACCCCAACTCCTCCTCCTGGCCCCCCTTTTCTCTCACTCAGGAGCATCTGTACTGTCTCTTGGTGGTCCTCAGGGCCACCCACCTCTGTGAGATGGCAGTGAGACGACGCGGCTCCCATCCAGGCCGTGGTGGTGCGTGGGTGCTGCCCTTCCTCACAGATGACCCTGAGGTGAGCGGGGTTTCTTCCACGCATGTGCAAACCCTATTATGCCTCTATGAACAATATTTAAAAAATTTTTTCTTGATGTATTTATTTTTTTTAATAGAGTCTATTTTTTTAGAGCAGTTTAGAGCAGAACTGAGTAGAAAACAGAGTTCACACATATTATGTAAAGGACCAGACGTTTGTTTTCCTGGGTATCTGGCAAACCGACTTGCTGATAAATGGACCTGCGGTCTTTTTTATTCACTGTCCTTTGCACCTTCGGATCTGTTTTTGGTACAAATCTGTTTTCTATGGATTGTTAAGTCTACCTATTTCTAAAATAATATTTGACCTTGACCACATTATATATTTTATGTACAGTTTTATTCCTCCTTATTTTACTCCTCAGCCCGTTGCAGTGTTTGTTACAGCAAAGGCCTGAAAGCCTCATAAATTCCGTCAGTGGGCGGCTGGTTAAATGTGGAGGGGTTCGTCCCTGCTCTGCGGCCCCTGAAAGGAGGGGCAGCTCTAACTTACGGAGAAGAGCAGGCTCTGGAGCTCACAGTTCAAGTTAAAAAACAAGGAGTGGAGGAAGGGTATAGCCCAGTGTTAGAGCATGTGCTTAGCACGCACAAGGTCCTGGGTTCAATACCCAGTATTTCCATGAAAATAAATAAGTAAATAAACCTAATTACTCCCCTCCTCCAAAAAAAGAAAAGCCAAAAAAAAAAAAAAGAAAGATTAAAAAAAAACAAACAGCAAGGAGCAGGGCCATGTGCATAAAAGAAGGGGGTGGGGATGTACCTGTATGTTTGCACATGTTCTCTGCAAGGAGATAAAAGAACCCTTAATAGTGACTGTCCCTGGGGAGGGAACTGAGGGCCTGGGGGCCAGGATAGGAAGGAAATCTCACTTTTTCATGTTTAAATTTTTTCAATTATGTGTATGTATTAATATTTCCCAAGTCAATTTAACAACAAAATTCTACATGTTTTCTAAAGAAAGTATGTCTCTTACTCCTTTAGAGTCATCCTAAGCCTCACATTATTATTTTTAAAAATTTTAATGGGGGTACAGGGGATAGTGTTGGTAAGGCACTAGATGGTAACTATCTACCTACCTGTCTGCTTCCTCAGGAGGTTGTGAAAACCCCCAAGTGTCCATCGACAGATAAATGGATAAAGAAGTTGTGGTACATACACACACATACACACACACAATGGAATACTGCTCAGCCATAAAAGAGAATGAAATAATGCCATTCGTAGCAACATGGATGGATCTAGAGATTATCATATTAATTGAAGTAAGTCAGGCAGAGAAGGACAAATATCATATGATATCACTGACATGTGGAATCTAAAAAAAAAATGACACAGACTTATTTACAAAATAGAAAGAGACTCACAGACATAGAAAACAAATTTGTGGTTACCAGGGGGAAAAGGGAGGGAGGGGAAGGATAAATTAGGAGTGAAGGAACTATTAACATGTTAAAACCCTCCCCTGCACATCTGTCCTGTAAGAGTTAGTCCAGCCTCCTGCAGCACCCACGCTCCCCTCTGGCAACCCCTGAGATGGGGGTTCCCCTGGGGGAGGCTGGCTCCCCTCTCATGGCTCCTCCCGAAGTCACAATGACATTATTGGCTCTAACTGCCATCATTGATACCTGCTTTTCCCTGCCATTATTTTTTTCAACTGAGATGTAATTCTCATAATAAAATTCAGTCTCTTATATAGCATATTTGTTTTGAGTATATTCACAAGGTTGTAAGACCATCACCACTAATTAAATCCGGAACATGTCCATCACCCCCCTCCAAAGAAACCCCATACCTGTTAACAGTCACACCCATGGCGACCACTTTCTGTCTCTGTGGTTTGCCTATTCTGGATGCTTTGTATGAATGACACAACATGTGGCCCTCCGTGGCTGGCTTCTGTCACTTAGCATAATGTTTTGCAAGTTCATCCATGTCATAGTATGTAGCAGTACTTTGTTCCTTTTTATGGCTGCATAATGTTTTGTGGCACAAACATCAGTGGCCTCTTTTAAATTTCATTTTACTTTGGGGCACTTGGGTATTTTTGAAGTGGCTTTAAAACCCCTGAGAAACAAGTCAGGGTAGGAAGCTAGGAACGCAGGAAAGAAGATGCGTAGGAAGGAAGCAGGGGGTCCCTGGGCTCCTCGTGGAAGAGTCAACCCCATAATCAATGTGGTTTCATGGATCCTGCACCGGGATGGCACAGACCTGGGCACCACGGGGCCCCGGAGGGCCTCTGCTGCACCCCTAACCCCTCCTCCAAACTGCTGACAGGAAGGTTTTCAGAGGGGCTCCTGAAGGAGACCAAGGAGTTGAGAAGCGGCTCCCTGGAGAATGAGAGCATGAGCGAGTAGAGGAGTGATATGTACACATGCAAATGCCCATGCGCAGAAAGACACAATCCGTGTGTGTGCTCAGTGCGCCACCAAGTGTGGGAGCCAGGAATTCATCAGAGAGACTCACCACTCCCTGCTGTGCCTCCCCTGCTGAAGCACTGCAGTCAAGTTACAGGAAGCAGGTAGTGCCGAGGGCACCTGCTCTGTGTTGTGATTCTCATGGGAACAGCCCTTGGCTGGAGGCTGGGTACTCTCTGGGTACTCTCAGCCCCCACCAGTCTCGTGTTTGTGTGTGTGTGTGTGTGTGTGTGTCTGTCTGTGTATTAGCCTTTTAGCTCTGGTCTTTTTGCTTCAGGCAAAGCAGAGACCAGACGGGGAAAAGGGGATTATCTCTCTCTGCAGGGCTAAGAGCTGATCCTGGAGAGAGAGTGGGACTTGGGGGGAAGGGAGGGGAGAGGCAGAAGGGGAGGTGTTAACAGAATGAATCTTTGAAGGGTCAGGACAGGTCAAAAGGACGTGATTTATTTTAGCAAGAGTGAGTTCTCTCCCATCAAAGACGATCAAAGAATGAGTCAGAGAGGACAGGCCGGCTTTTCAACAGCCCACACCCAAAACTGAGAAGCAAGGGCAAAATGAATCGTGTTGAGCTGATTAGGTTAGAACAGCAGAGGGATGCAAAAGCTCTGAGACAGACTTCCCTATCAGCTCTGGGGTCTGATGGATTGACCCTGCAGCCACTAGGTTCAGAAAAGCCTCGCAGATCCATCTGCCCCGCGGGTAAGGATTCCACAAGGGGCCAGGAGCTTAGGCTCTCCTGCCAAGACCGCTCTGATGGAAGCATTTCCAAAGTGCTTTCCATTTCCCACTTTGCTTTAGCAAGGAGCGCTTAACATCATTAAATCCTGACTTGGTGGCTGAGATTCTCAATGGTGCTGGACAACTTGGTTGAGAAATAAAATGTATCCTGCTCTTTTGGCTTTGGAGTCATCATCAGAGAACAAGGATAGCTCTTCCTTCTCACCCTAGGAAGGAGCCAGAGCTCTTGTCCCTTCCTTTGGGGCAAGAGTTGAGTCAGAGTTTGAAGGAGCTCCTGGAAGCATCAGAGAAGAGTGGGGGGAGGGTCCTCCTTCCTTGTGGCACTCTGAGGGGCTGGCTGTCTGCGGGGGCGAGAGCACGGATGCCTGGGCACAGGATCCTCAGTCCGGCCCTCCTCAGCTTGGGAGCCAGGGCAGAGGTCCTGGGGCTGGGTTGGCATAAAGGGAGTGGGTGCTCCGAGGGTTCAAGCTGCCCATTCTCAGGTAAACTGCATGGCTTGCCCTGGACTGTGCAATCCCCAGGGTTCCTGTGTGATGCTAAGACTGGGGAACCCTTAGGTATGGCTGAGGTTGGATTTCTCCCTATTCCTGTTTATGGGGACTGACCAAATGTAATTGGATTTGGGAAACCGAAGACGTAGCACTGACAGTGAACACTGCAACTATCAGAGGCTGGGCTGTGATACCACAAGGAGACGCAGGAGGAGAGGGGGACCCGCTGTGAGCCCCGCCTTCCCGCCCCACTTCCCCCTGCTGCTGCCATTCTCTGTCTTATTTACAAAGAGCCCCTCTGGGCTGGGGCCTGCCTCTTCTGCAGACTCCTATTCTCAGGCTTGGTGACCGCTCCCCACGCTGCACTCAGAGCTGTCTGCTTGCTTTCAGGGGCCTCCCTGTATCCAAACCGTTCAAGCAGCTAGAAGCCTGCTGGCCTTTTAATGCACAGAAGATTTCCTCCATTATGTCCTGTGAGTTAAGGCGAGGCTGAGACAGGAGCCACAAGCTTGCCAGAGATTTCTCTAAGTTACCAGGGTTGAAGAAACTCTGACTTCATTTCATCTACTGATTTTTGGGTGCGATTTGCATTGCATTTGTGAAATAAAATTCCTATTTTATGGCAAGGCAAGAACAAATTTAGACATAAAAAATTCTCCTCTGCCCTTCGGCCTCCTCTCTCCCCGCACTGTGCATTCTGTATCTGCATTATTCTTTGACCAAACTTCCCCCATCTGCAGGAATACCTGCACAGCCGTACGGAGCAACGTTCTCCGAGCCTCAACAAGAAAACTCCTTAAAAAGGTAACATTCTTCTTGATTTTGTAAGGGATCACATGACCCACCAGGATGGCACTTAGATCTGGATTATGTAAATTGTCACTAATACATCATCTGATGCACAGCCCACTGTCTCAAAACAATTTACAAAACTGTGCCTTGATTTCTAATAGAGGGATCAGGTCTCAGAGCTTTCTGAGATGCTCTTCCTGGGTTATAGTCCTCAAATTTGGCCCTAATAAAATTCTCCATTTCTTTCTTAGATCGACTGATTAATTTTTGTCGATGCATTTAAAAAATTAAATCAGTTGGGGTCATCTGAAATTGAGATAGTTCATATAAAAACATTAGCTCTCAACATCTCTTGAAAAAAAAAAATTCTAGCAATGTGAGACCCCAGTCTTCATGTCAGTGCTTGACTGGTGCTTTAGCCCCCGGGATAGAGCCATGCGCTCCAGCTGACACCATCACTGTCCACCCTCTGGTTCCACCCGGCCCTCTTCACTTTGCCTGCCAGGCCCATGTCAGTCTGTGAGTCAGCTTCCTACCCCAGATCCTGGAGAGGTCAGCATCCCTTAATGTTTCTTTGGCCGATAAACTTCATGCAGAGCCAGACTGCCTCTTCCCACTAAACTTTAAGTAACCGCTTATTGCCAACATCACTAAGTCCATTCTGGTCCCCTTCTCCTGAGGGCCTCCCAGGTTGTTTCTGTCATCTTTTTTCATTGTGAAGCGCAACAGCCAGCCCCCTGCACCAAGAGCGTGTGAGTGAAAACGCCACTGGGGTCAGTACCTTAACATTCCGGTTGTCCAGACCCTTTGTGTACTCGTCAAACTCCACCCCGACCGTGAAATCTACGTTATAGTTACGGAACGTGCTGTTGGTTTTTGTCTTGAAATTATCGCCATCTTGCTCGATGATCTTGGTCTGAATCAGATGGACGGCGATCTTGCGGGTGGCAAAATCAATATCTGTTGGCAAAGGGAGTGGTGGATGTTATGGTGTGTTCAGCCAGACTCATTCATTTCTCTAACAAGGTCAGACATTCAGGACCAGAGACATGGGTCTCAGGCAGGCCACCTTTCTTTGCTTAAGTGGGAAGCAAGGGTTGGCTTGCATGTGGCCGTTTTGGATATCTCTGTCAACTGTTGGGAAACCTAGGGTTTCTGGGCACCTCCTCAAGAGCCCTGATGGGAGTGGGGAGGTAGCAGGCAGGGCTCACCCTGAACTGCAAATCCCCACTGTGCATGCGTACACACACACACACACACACACATGCACACACCCCTCCACCACAGCAGCCCCCATTCTATTTGACATATTGGTTTCCTCCTAAGAGTCTGCTAAACAGAAGACTTTATGGTTTAAAAGGAAAGACACTGTTTAAAAACAATCAGTCTAGATCATAGGTAAAGACAGAATTCTGTTAATGTCCATAGCAGGGCGGTATATGTACAAACTTCCATTTTGGGGGGAGGGGTGGTAATTAGATTTGTTTATTTATTTAGTGGAGGTACTGGGGATTGAGCCCAGGACTCCAGGCATGCTAAGCACATGCTCTACCACTGAGCTGTACCCTCCCCGCTAAGCTTCCATTTTTACAGCAGACTGGGGAGCTGTTCTTCTAGAAGAAGCTATTTTGCCTTCTTCATGGCCCCCCAGCACAGCTCAGGCATATTCCAGACACTTAACAAACACTTGCTCAGAGATTTCTTTTGCTGTTTTTAAGGAAAAGATGAATAATTATTTGTATTTTTATCATGAGAAACTTTAAACAAACCAAAGTACAGGGGAAAGTACAAGGAGCCGAGCACACTCATCACCCAGGTTCAACAATTATCAAAGTTTTGCTCCATTCACTCTGCTTACATCTTTTCTTTGCCTTGATATTTTAAAGGGAATCTTTTTTTTTAGTTGAAGTATAGTCAGTTTACAATGTGTCCTCAATTTCTGGTGTACAGCATATTCTTTCAGTCATACATATGCATACATTCCTTTTCATATTCTTTTCCATTATAGGTGACTACAGGATACTGACTATAGTTCTCTGTGCTATATAGTAAAAGCTTGTTTATCTGTTTTATATATAGTAGTTAGTTCAAAGGTAATCTTATTCATTTCTTAGAGACTGTTTAGTGAGTAAAAGGGAGCATGCCTTTCAACAGAGTGTTTCATTTCCTCAGCTCTGCATTTTACAGCAAGAAGCTAAGTGCTGAGCCCACCACCTCCTGCTAACCTCTGGTTGTGCATAAATTGTCCCCCAAGCCAAAATGTCACTGTCTGGTGGAACAGATGTAGAAACAGAGGATAGTTCTGAAGCTACTAAATTTCTCTCCTTGCTACGAACGTCTTTAAGCTTTTGGTCTCTTCCCAGATTGTATTTGACATTTGACCCCCTTTATGCCTGTGAATTCTCCAGATGACTTTGGATGCCAATCTAAATCTTTGTTTTTTAGAAGTCAGTCTGTAAGATTTCAAAAATACTGAGATTGAGTCTATCATAACCCAAGGTAAGAATGACCTGAGGAGGAAGGACAGTTCAGAGTCACTGAGCGCTGTTTCTCGGAGAATTCCAGCCCCATCTGTGGTAGGTAGGTGAGTAAGCTTCACACTGTGCTGTCTGGTGGGGGAGAAATACCACTGAGCCCATGAGGAGGACCAGCAGCTCCCAACAGTTCATGGAGCTCCTGTCAATTTAGAGAATGGACGTCTCCGATGGTCACATCCCCACACCTTCTGCTGCCCTGCCATGGTAGCCAAGCATCATTCCACCCACCCTCTCTCCCCATTTCCTTGCTGACTCATTTCTTTCTGAATCCCTCTTTGGTCACTATCACTTTCCTTTTCCCAAAAGACCAAGAAGAAGCCCAGGCTGGACCACAACAGAATCCAGGGAGGATCCTGGATGGTTTTTTGGATCCTAAAATGTATAAAGGCTGCTTTTACCATAAGGGAAAAATTTCAAGTAATATCAGGCAGCCCAGAAGGTAAAAGCCTTACCTGTATCCTAAGTTGAAAAGAGAAATAGGTTTAAATTGGCATGAGCTGGTACGTGAATGCCAGTGCCTTGCTCAGCTATTGTTCACGACTATTGGTT